AAAGTTGGTACCTTAGAACTGAAGTTTCTCAAATAGTCAGAATGCAATTTCCATAATTTGACTTCTAATAACCAAATTTGTGTGTGTTTTCTACTTAAACATGATTAGCATAAACGTGTGGATGATTTAGAGTGTCAAAGTGCATCATTTGGATGAGTTTTGATGCACATGTGATCACACTTATTTCATGAAAACATGTGTGCACGATTTCCCTCTAAATTGCATCATCCACCCCTCCTCTTGATTCCATTCACTTCTCCTATAAATACAGGCTCTATCCTACACATTTTGGAAATCTTAGATAGCCAGAATCACCCTGCCAAACTCTCTCTTGAATCCACTTTTTTGCAACTTTGAATTTCATTTTATAGCTTTCCTCAATCAATTTTCTTTATCAATTATTCATCCTTGAACTTCATTGAAGCTAACAAAAGAAGAACCAAGCTCTAAGACTTCCTAAATCGTGCTAGCCAAGTCAAGTTTCAGAGCTCTGAATTTGAACTTGAATAGGTAGATTCCTTCATCAATTCTCTAAAACTTTGGTACTGTATTGAAGCTCTCATCATTCTGATCCTAGTCGTAACATTTGTTTTCAACTGTAAGTGAGTTTTGGCCATGGATTTTCAAATCCCCTTTCAAATCTTTCCTTCCAAAACGACTGAGCTACACCTTACATAAATTTTTCACGAGAGTACTATTAGAATCGTCTTGAAGAGACGGAGTGAATGATACCAGTCTCGAGCTCTAATTTTTCCGTTTTAGAGACCTGTAATTCGTGTGGCTGGAGGTTGAAGATGACCAACGTGTCATCTCTCAACCAATGATATCGTGCCATTTGTTTTTCCAAATTTTGATTTTAATAAACGATTCAGTGTTTTATTCACTAAGGAGCATGATAAGCACAATGTGTATGATCCTTTGGATTAGCTTACTAACGTGTTTTGACTCTCATCCAATGGCCTACATAATTTTGGTTTTTATTTTATTTTCTGATTTTTATATTTTATTTGTTTTAAACTTCAAAATTTCATTAAAAAAACATTTTAACTTTAAAAAATTTGAAAAAATTCTTAAAAATACTTTTTATTTTTCTCCTTCTGATTATTATTTTTTCACAATTTTATTTTGTGTTTTGATTTTTTTAAATATTTTTTCACTTTATTTGAGTTGTTTTAAATGTTTAAAAATACTTTTCCTAATTTTTAGATTCTGAAAAAATATATGGAAGGATCCAATGACCTCTTGACAAATATTTGTGACCTCATCTTATTTTTATTTCTGACTTTACTATTTTTTACAATTTTTGGTTGATTTTGCCTATTTCTTTTAATTTTAAAAATAGTTTCTGATTTAAAAAATTACCAAAAATTTTATAAAAATATTTGAGTTTATTTCTGATTTTTCTATGGCCTCATTGAATTTTTCTTTGATGTTTTGAATATAGTTGCTATTTTCCCTTTTATTTTCATTTAAAACCATTTTGAAAATCTTTTTTTCTTTATTTTTAAATACAATTTTATTTTTGTATATATTATGCCTGATCTTGAACTATGAGATTTTGATCATGAGCTTCATTAACATCATTGGATCTTGTGTGTTGAGTTCAACTCCTCCAAAATGGATGATTGATTTTAATGATAGCTTGATTAAATTTTTGGTTCAAATGTGATTTGATTCTTATCCCTTCCCTCTTCATCTTATCCACTTCTTACTTGTACTACACGTTGTGGGAGAATAATTTACATATCATTTCTCTAAACATATGCTACATAAATTGCTATTGACCGACCTCAAAATAGGTGTGACTTCTATATAAGTCCACTTACGATTGCTTAACATAGCGCTAAATCTTGTCCCGATTTGAGAAATGATCATTCGTAGCCTAACCTATATTTGCAAGCCCAAGTATGTTAACTTGAAACCTTTGATGTAATAATCTTGAGATTCATTTTTATGAGGCTTTGATCTTATCAATCCTCTAATAAATCCTTATTAGCTTTGGTCAAAGTGAATCATTTAAACATTGTTGATCATTTGTTGTTGCCTCAAGATTTTGAAATGAATGATATACTTGACAAAAAGCAAATAAAACTTGTTATTGAGAGGCTTTGATTTTATCAATCTTTGAATGAGTTTTCAAATGCAAGTTTCAAGACAGTCATTCAACTAACCTCTAATTCCTAACCCATTAAAAATTGACTTTTATTTGTATGCTTGTACTTTATGTCCTTACTTTAAGCACCATTTAGTTTAGCATTTAAATTTCATGTTATTTTCATCTTTGCTTACTTGAGCATTTAATTTTATTTCATTTTTATTTTGTTCACTTGAGCCTCTCATTTCATTTTGAAGATACCTAATAATAAATTTGAACCATAAAAAACTTTAAGGTTACTTGGACTATTTGGTTACTATCCTTGGCATGATGAAGTTATAGACTTCTTGGACTTAGGAGTAGAGACCTTGACCTATCTTGAGACCTTGTGACTTCTACTTTTATTTTGTCTGGAGCTCTTAGGGTTTACCCCGAGACATTGTGTTGTTTGTTTTCTTTGTGTGAAGGTTATTCTGATTATATGCTTTGTCTGTGATCGGAAATTCATCTGCATACAACTGTTACCCTGTCCAATTTTTGTGAAGACTTAATGCATTTGAAGCTTGGTTTTCTTAAGAGGTTTATTATCTTTGATTTTTTGGTTTCAATCCAAAAGGATGGAAATTCTATATTGACTCATTATGTCAAGTGTTGGCTTTTTGTTGGTTAGACGATTTTTTTCTCTAGCTTTTACCTTATGCTTTAGGATAGTCCCTTCATCGCCTCCCACCTTCTTTAATTTCAAAAATCTTCTCCCTCCTTTTCAAAACTATTCTTGTTTTTTAAACTTGAATCGCTTTCATAATAAACTTGGACTTAGGTCCATGCATTTTCAAAAATCTTTTCTTAATCAAACTTTAAACAACTTAATAATGCTTTGACATTTTTGTGAGAAGACTAAAAGTCAATCAATCTCATTCAAACCATCTTTGCCACTTTGGCTTTTTACTTTAAAATTTTCTCAAAAGATAAGACTCTTGTCAATCCTTGTAGTGATGTGAACTACTATACTTCTATGATATGTAGTGAAGTGAGATGTTTTCCACTTGGGTGTTGAGCGAGACTTTGTTGATTTTAAAATCCAAGCTATATCCTTCACTTTGAGATGACACAAATTCTTCTTTCTCATGATCATGGGTAGTAAGTATGTTTTCCACTCGGATAAGACGATGATGTCTCGTCTCTTAAAATTAACCAACACACTTATGTTTTAAAATTTTTAAAGGTGAATTACGAGTACCCTGATCCCCTATTGCATGAAAGATGGTACGTAGGCACTAAAGGTTCGCAACCGCGACGGATACAAAAATCATAAAAAAATACTTCTTTTCTCATCCCCACAATCTATTTTTATATAACATTTATAGCCAAAATACACAAATTTTCAAAGAGGTTCCTGTGGAGTACCGTAGATGTTTATGGTGCTAATACCTTCCATTTGCATAACCAACCCCTTACCTAGATTCTCTCCCCCTGCTTTTGGGTTACTCGCTTTTTTCCCATTTCTTTAGAAACAATAAAGCGCGGTGGTGATGTTTATTTTGATCTGTGCGAGTCAAGTAAATCCAATGGCTTAGTCTCAATATTTCTACCGTTACAATGGCCATATAAGACCATTTTTGTACATATTGTATGGATATCCTATTTCTTATAGTCAATGTTTCCTCAAGAGAATATTGGTATTTTGATAGTGGATGTTCAAGGCACATGACTGGTGAAAAGAGTTATTTTAAAGAATTGAAGTCATACTAAGATAGTTATGTTACCTTTGGGGATAAATTAAGAATAAAACTCAAGGGTATAGGCAAACTGGTATATCCAAGTCTTCTTGAACTCGATGATGTGTTACTGGTGGAAGAATTGACTGCAAACTTGATCAGTATAAGTCAACTATGTGATCATGGTCTGAGTATGAACTTAAACAAATTTGAATGGATTGTTATATGTGGATCCATCAGCCCTCATCTTGTGTTGAGAGATAGATCATAAGTGAAACAGGGAAAATCTGTGGACATTGCCAAATAGGCAAGATGTCTCACAAGATGCTTCAACATGTCCTAAAGATACTGCATATGTCTCTCATGAAATCCACACAAATGAAAAGTCTTGGTAATAGTACTTTGTATGTGAAAAATGACAAGAGAAATCTTAGTTATAATCGTGGGATTGGCAAAATGATAGACAAAATATTGAAACATTATGTCCAACAAAGGACGAGTCTAGTAAAAAAATTCACTTATTGTCTTGATTGACAAGTAAAACCAACAAGAGAATATATCTATGTAGTTCAAGTTAAGCATGGTTTTAAAAAGAAAAAGGACATTGTTGACGCTTGCATGTTTGTCAAATTACTACAATCAATGCTAATGAAGTGTCAAAAAATTAAACTTTATATCTCTTGTGATCATTATTACACGAGAAATAAGGCGATCTATATCTATTCCAACCCATTTTCAAAATTTCTCTGCTTCCACAAGTCTGAAGAGGTATATCTTTCTCTTTTGATCTAAACAAACCAGTCGTCTCTCTTTATATCTAAGTCATCAATCTCCCTAAAAAATCACTACGCCAAAAATAAGTTACGAAAGCGCTTTCTAAGGTGGCGCTGCTATAGGTTTTAGCAGCGCTTTTTATTTAATGAAAAGCGCTTTCGTAGGTCTACCTAATACAGCACTTTTTCTAAAAAGCGCTCTCTTAAGTAGGCTTTTGGCAGCGCTTTTTTATGAAGAAGCGCTTTCATAGGTCTACCTAAGGCAACGCTTTTTTCTGGAAAAGCGATGTCTTAGGTAGGCTTTTAGCAACGCTTTTTTCTGGAAAAGCGCTTTCATAGGTGGTCTTTTAGCAGCGCTTTTTCCTGGAAAAGCGTTGTCATATGTTTACCTTAGACAGCGCTTTCATAGGTTACCTAAGGCAGCGTTTTTCTTGAAAAAGCGCTTTCATAGGGTGTTTTGTCCCTCTTCATTGGCTGCACATTAAAATTGAGTTATTGCCTATAGCAAGAGTAGGACTAGTATCATACGCATGAGAATTGCTACAAAACTATGAGAAAAATATTTATGTACTATCATTGTAGATATACTTTTCTTCATGAAAAGAACAGAAGAAAAAAAAAGAAATAACTGAAACTACATGGTGGTTTGAAAAAAGTGTATGAGAAGAAACATATGCAAACTGTACCATAATAATTTTATTATATCTGAATCGATATTGAAAACTGCATATTTTATGTCAAATATGAAGAAACTTTTAACATCAAATGGATAATCATTCCAAAGTCTGTATCATTAATTTATCATTTCACAAAACTGAGAATAGTTGGTAAACATAAGATGTCAAGGATGATTATTAAGCACAGAATAGCAACTGAGTGCTTCCAAGGGATAAATGAATTGCAGTGTTATGTCATATGCATATAGTGCATAAAGGTTTCTATTAAGAGTTTCTAACCTGAACAGTAGCCAAAAGGGAGCCAGTTCCCTTCACATATCTGTAATAACTTTTCGTAAAACAGCAGCAGCGCTTTGAATCAGGATAGACAACATCTAAACTCTTTTAAGGAAATGGGGTCAACAGAGAATATTACTGAAACATTATTTTTCTTGGTAATAAATAGGGTTATAAGCTATAGTAAAATGATTTAAATATGCTCAAAACCAATTAATGGGGTAAGGATACCAATAGCACTTCCCCACCTCTCTAACAAGATTGGGTGAATGTAATACTTGTCTAAAGAGTCGTATTCATCTTCATTATCTTCCCCTAAAGTTCTAGAAATGTCATTGGAAACACCGGTCGCCGAAGCCTCAGGTTCAACATTTGTATCATTGCTAAGATTCTTTAATAAAAGAAACTTCTCAATAGGTTGACATGACTGGAACAAATTGTGTCTATCCTCGAGTGATAAATCATCTTCCTTAGCATGTGCGTTGAAAGGCTCAACTAATGGCTTAGGAGACTGAATCAGCCGGCGGCTCAAAAATTCATTTCCAAAAGATGATGGTTTTCTCTTAGCCTGGAAAATTAAACACATTCAATCAACTATCACAAACTCATAAGCCAAAAGGTTTACAGCTTCGACTGACAAGAACCCTAGTTAAAGATATTAGAATAGCTAAATCTACTTTTTCCCTCCCCCTCTTTGAAATGTGAAATAAGCCATTATTAACACAACTTGCGACTCAAGTAATTAAGAACAATTTTCTCTATGAGACTACAGTGCAATTAAAGATCCAGCAGCAACAAAAAGAGGATTCAAACTTTATGAACATCTTTGAAAGTATATTGCCTGAAACCAACTGATTCCTTGATGATATAAAATACATCCCAAGTTTTTTGAAAGAAGCATTTAAACTTGAAGAAAAGAATAGTCTAAGACTAAAGAATACCTACCAGACAAAAGTAACGAGGCCTAGAATATGGAACTCCAAACTGTAAAGGGCTGAGAATGAACTCTTGTGTAATAAAATTTGTTTTCTCCAGTATTTCAATCAGTTTTGCATGTGTATCAGATGTCTGTAGCCAGAAAGGACAGAAAAATAATCAGAAACAATTAAGGAAACTTATTTAGGGTCTTAGTGAACATGTTTATTGAAGAACACAAACCTCAAACCCGACAACATTTTCCACAAACAACATACTTGGAGGCCGCAATAGGAATGGGATGAGCTCAAGAATCCGAAGAAAAGAAAACGCTCGTGCATCCCCAGTGTCCTTCTAGAGACCTAACACAAGATTATTGAGCGATATTTTGCTTACAGAACTAAATAAGTTATCATAGAACGAGAAGAAAAAAAATCACTTTGTCGTGTGTAAGGTTGACAGGGAGGAGAAAGGAGCCATGTGTGGGCACCATATTTGTCTAGATCAGCAGCAATTAGGCTTTGAATATTTCCCTAAGTCATCGAACACAGATAAATCTCAATCAGATCAGGTAGATCAACAATGTCTAAGAAACTGAATAGACGTGGTCTATGACATTGACATGTAATGTGACAAAATTCCAAATATACCCATCTAGCCACAGTTCATGAACGTACAAACCTTTAAAATCACAATTCATAACTCAATAAGAGGCAAATTAACAATTTGATTTGGAAAAACAATACAAAAAGAGAAGAGTGAAACCTGATAAGGACGATGAGAAAAGTTATGTTGGTAAACATCATTTGCAATGTTATTGATTTCAAATGCTTCGATCACTTGCGCTTCTACTTGAGCTTTCATCAGCGAGTATCTCTGATACAAAACACTAATTCAATTTGCAAATTGGGAAAAGATGACTTAGGGTTCGATGAGGTGCGTACCATGCCGCCAATTCCACTGTAGAACTCCAGTACTCTCTGCATCTCTTTCCCCATTATTGCTGCTTGCAACTTGCAACAATCAAGCCACTTCCAACGCTTTGAAAAACCAATGACCTTAACCACTAGGGTTTTGTACGTATAATTTCCTATAAATAAATTATCATTAATTTTAGTCTTAAATAAGCGCTTTCGTAGCATATCCTATAGCAGCGCTTTCTAAAGGTCAGCTTTAGCAGCGCTTTGGAAAAGCGCTTTCTAAGGCTGACCTTTAGCAGCGCTTTTGAAAAGCGTTTTCTTAAGGTATCCTCTGAAAGGCCAGCTTTAGCAGCGCTTCCCAAAAAGCGCTTTCTAAGGGTGACCTTTAGAAGCGCTTTTGAAAAGCGTTTTCTTAAGGCAGCCTTTGAAAGCGCTTTTTTAAGCGAATTTTTTTTAAAACCTACAGCAGCGCTTTTTTCCAAAAGCGCTTTCTTTTATGTGATGCTAAAATTTATTTTTGGCGTAGTGAATAGTAAAAAATTCAGTGACGCTAAGACCTTAGAACCCAAGCTCGTCACCAACATATATGTGGTCAAAATAAGGGAAAAAGAGATACTAAATAAATCTAAGATTTATGAATCTAGTAATAAAGCTGATAAGCAAGATAATGTGCAAGATGTTGTATCACTTTACCTCCTTAGTTGCTCTATCGTTCGAATCTTTAGTGGAGGCCACTTTGATATGTAACATTGCGAAATATATTATTCTATTTTTCTTATCGCATGTTGTATGTTATTTTGGAGTTATTAAATCAATTTTGTTATTTTGTAATTGATAAAACTTTTATACCAAATTTATTTATTTTTCTACTACGTATTTCAAAAGATTATTTTGTTTTAGTCTTTATAATTAGTGGATCATGTATGACAATCTAGAGTATTTATGGAATTTTATATTGAGTTAAAAATTAAAGAGTTACAATTATCACCATAAATAAAATAAGGTAAATATAACACTAGAATATCGGAGATCCAAATGATTATGTCATCGGTTGGCCTTTACACACCGGTCCCGACCAACCGCTGTAACACAGCGCTGCCATTTACTACATGAGAGATTAATTTCCACATACGTGATAGAAGAGTACACTTGTAAAAAAAATGACACTCAATACTATATAAAAACTTTTTAGCAAATACTACACGTGCCTTTAAAGGAGTTGTAGTACATACTAAACATAACACTTTTGTATTATATGGATCAAATTTTCGTAAAGTTAATAGTATTTTTAATTCATTAATTATTTAACTTGTATTTCAAGGAGACAAGTCAATGACATAAGCTAGCAAGTTCGAAACTTATTAAATAAAAAAAGTTTGATTTTTTACTCGACACACACTTAGTCGACGTTAGAAAAATTAATACAATGCGAGCACAATCCACTTGCAACTCAATTTGATCACGGCGCCGAAATTAATATCCCTCGTGCTCTTATCTATATATATATATATAGCCCACTCTCCCCTTCAAATCACACTACAACAAAACCACACTCTCCCCTTTAAATCCCTCTTTGTCTTTCTTTGTTTCTCTACTTTCATCCATACCCCAAAAACTCAAACAAAAATGTTAACTTGCGCCCAAACATGGCCAGAACCTATTGTTCGAGTCCAATCCTTAGCCGAAAGTGGCCTTAACTCAATTCCATCATGCTACATCAAACCAACTTCTCAAAGACCATCTAAAACCACTCTTACCTCTCGAATCGATCGTATCGATATCAACATACCTTTGATTGATCTTGAGCACGTGTTCAGTGAGGATCAGGTCCTCAGAGAAACAGTGCTCAAGAACGTCTCGGAGGCGTGTAGAGAGTGGGGTTTTTTCCAAGTCGTGAACCATGGGATTGACCATGAGTTGATGAAGAGTGCTAAGGAAGTGTGGCGTGAGTTCTTTAACCTTCCACTTGAAGTGAAAGAAGAGTTTGCTAACTCTCCTAGTACTTATGAGGGTTATGGTAGTAGGTTGGGAGTGAAAAAAGGTGCTATTTTGGATTGGAGTGACTATTTTTTTCTTCATTATATGCCTCCTTCTCTTAGGAATCAAGCTAAGTGGCCTGCACTTCCATCATCCTTGAGGTATGCACAAGAATAATAATAACAATCCATTGATTAACCACTTTATTTTATTTTTAAGAAACAATTAGATATATTTTTTTATATATATTCTCTATTTTATTTTTTATTTAATACAAAGTTAGCTCTTAAAAAGTAGGTAAGGATTAACACACTTTCTTTTCTTAATTATTGGATATAAAAATAAATACAAATTAATTTTCAAAAATATTTTTGTCATAATTTATGTTTAAACTAGCTTAATTTGAAAAATATTTAAAAATATTAAAATTCAAAAATGAAAAAAAATATATATTAAAATTTTTAGTCCGTACCCTTTTACTTCTGTGTTGTAGTGGCCCCTACTAGATTTTAAACAAAATGTTCGGTCTTTGAGAAATAATAAAGTTATTAGTATAACTTGACATTTGTAAAGTGATGCGACTCATGTTAAAAATATGTTCTTTTTAAAGTATATATAAATAAACACATGTTAAAAGTGTTGAAATCATAATTATGAATAACTTAAAAGGTATTTTAGATTCAACCTAAAAAATAGTTAATCGAATTTAATGAAAAAGATAATAGAAAAAAAAAAAAAATATATATATATATATATATATATATATATATATATATATATATATATATATATATATATATATATATATATATATATATATATATATATATATATATATATATATATATATATATATATATATATGGTTAGAATTATATCAGTAAGTAGGTAAGATTTTGAATGTTTGGGACCTAACAAAATTAATATTTGATATCATTAATTTTTCACGCGTTTAATACACGTACTTACACTATATACCCGCATGTTATTAAACAAGTAAATGTGTGATTAAATAACTTCAGATATGTTTATAATTTAAACAGTCAAACATGATTTTTTTTGTTCATACTTGAAGAAGAGATAAAATATATCTTAACAATAGGAATAGAATATAATAATAAATAAATAAAAACAAACTTGGTGTTATAAATTTTTTACCATAGATTTATTACACAATGAAGAGTCTCTATCACTTGTGCAAATTTTGACCATGGTAGTATATTCAACTTTTTTCTCCTTTTCATGCAAAGACGAGTCGTATAGTATATTTTTTTGAAAATAATAATTTAAAACCTAATTTTATCTATGTATGATAATAAGGAAATATATCTATATTTGGCTAAGCGTCTCTTTTTAATAAATGAATGTTGTACATTTTTTCTTTAATAAAATTACTTTGCATTTATGGTCCATTTTTATCAGTATCCATAAAAAGCAATTGATGTATAAGTATAACTTTGCAATTCAAAATTTTCAGGAAAGTGATTAATGAATATAGTGAAGAAGTGGTTAAGCTAGGAGGAAGAATATTGGAGTTAATGTCAACAAATCTTGGTTTGAAAGAAGATTTTCTTATGAATGCATTTGGAGGAGAGAATGAGCTTGGTGCTTGCTTAAGGGTTAATTTTTATCCAAAGTGTCCACAACCTGATCTTACTTTAGGGTTGTCTTCTCACTCAGATCCTGGTGGTATGACTATTCTCCTACCTGATGATTTTGTGTCTGGACTTCAAGTAAGAAAAGAAAATGATTGGATCACTGTTAAGCCTGTCCCTAATGCTTTTATCATCAACATTGGTGACCAAATTCAGGTCCTACATCTTTCTATAATTTACTAGTCAAGTTGTTACCTAATTATTACTAACTAGTTATTTTCATAATTTCACTTGATTACAACTCTTAATCTGCATTGATATAATCAACATTAAAGACTGTTAAAAAAAAATTCTTTAAACCGATCCAAAACGTCAAATTTAAACCTAATTGAACTGAAGTTAAAATTACTGAAATGTTATATTTTGTAAATAAATTAAACTATGTTGTACAATCAGTTTTGGAAACGAAGCAAATATTTAAAACAAATATAATCTTTTTTATTACAAAGTTCAAATATTTACTTATATAAAATGGTTCGGTTTGCGAAAAATAGCCGATCTATTATTCAAATAATTTTGATATGATTCAATGTTAGATAAATTGAAAATATTTGGTTTGGATAACTTTTTATTATAGTTCAGTTAATTTGATTAATTTGATTTTCTAACTCAATTTTATCAAAAACAATCTTATATATCACACAGATATTAAAATTTTACACGGTTAAACTGTAAATAAAAAGAATCTTATAAAACATTTGACATAATTAAATCATAATAAATTTTTTATTTATTTTATCACAATTAAATCATGATTAATCTAGATGAGATTTCGGAAAAAACTTAAGTCCGTCATGAATACACTATAAACAAATAATAAGCTGTATCGCAATATAATGAATATATAGTAGGCCACTTAAAAAGTGTGCACAATGAGTATTATTTCTTAGTCAAAATGAATATAATTGATATTGAGATTTCCACAATTGGTGGTTGTAAATGATTAATAACTAGTGAATTATCCTCATGTTTATAATGTTTTAGGTAATGAGCAATGCAATATACAAGAGTGTAGAACACAGGGTGATAGTGAATCCAATACAAGATCGTGTCTCATTGGCAATGTTTTACAATCCAAAAAGTGACTTGCTCATTCAACCTGCTAAGGAGCTTGTGACAGAAGAAAAGCCAGCCCTTTATCCACCAATGACCTATGATGAATACAGACTTTATATTAGGATGAAAGGACCTTGTGGAAAAGCTCAAGTTGAATCTTTGGCTTCAGAAATGTAATTAATTAATTAAGTAATTAATTCCAATAATAGCTATGTAATTTGCAAATGATGAATTTGCATATGATTAAATAATTGGATATGTTGCTCTATAATTGAGAAATTGAACTCTTGTTAATTACACACAATATATATTCATGGTGTTTCATGGTTTCCTATGTGAGTTATTGGCTTGGTTTATTCAATAATGGTGAGTGATAGGGTAAAGCATAAATGTACCTTTCCAAACACAGTCTTAGTGGGTGGGATGCTCACTAAAAGCTTACACTGTCATGATTGTAGCACAAGTATGTGATGTAGATTTAACCAACTTTTTTGAGGAAAATGTGTTTTCATTAAAATTGATTGAGGTTTTATCTTATGCGATCTCCATAATCATTTTATTTGGTTTATTTATTAGTTAAGTCACAGTTTTATATGTAATATTTCATTTAAAATAAGAATAATATGAATTAACCTAAAGCACCTTATCGGTTATTGTTAAAACTTGAAACTATAAGGGTGGTGAAAATGGAGTAAATTTAATGTAGAGAGGAAGAGAGTGAGTGAGAATTTGAGAGATTAATTAAGGGTGAGAATGTATGTTAACATTGATTGAGATACCTCTTAATACAACTTCGTCATTTGATGTTTTGCATTATGGTAAAATTGGTAAAAGTTAGCATTTCTGTATATTGGACGGTATCTCTATGTCTTGTGGTACTCTTTTGCATTAGGAGTCTTATGAACCATTAAAAACCTTTTTGAAATTGATCAAAGTCATGAAAAATAGTTTCTGCATAATTTTTCATTGCATGTATTGACACATACGATTTCCAGATCGACACATGCAACTTAGTTTTGAAGTATGTAGCCTCTTGAAGGCTCAGGTCGACACATGCATTATACAGGTCGATACATACTGAAGCTTTTTTGAAATTGCATAAATTCTTATTTTATGTGTCGACATACACTAATTTCAAGTCGACACATTTACTGTTGTTTTAAAGTCTGTAACCTCTGACTTGCTTCGGTCGACACATATATTCCTTTAGGTCGACACATACAGCTTAAACTTAATATATGTGTCGACACGTACGATTTTTAGATCGACACATATTGATTGTTTTGGTCAATTTTTCAAAATTTTTTAATTCCGAAAATCTCCGTTTTGCCTTAAATTTCCAAAACTATCAATACATCATTCATGCATCATTACAACTTGATGACACCATAAAATATCATGCATTTACTCTTCATCTTCAACCTCCAACCTATGCATACACACTAACAAACAATTCTAACGATCTTTTGTTAGGGTGCCATCTAGACGAGGTTCGATAACGTCCAATTAGGTTCTTGTGTAGCTGAGAATATTGGGTTGAGATTCCCAGGGGTCTTCATCCGAAAAAACCGTGGGTTTTTCCTCCAAGATCATTGATTTGGGGGTTTTCGTGCAAGACATTCATAAGAGGATTGTGGCCTAGTGAAAGTCTTTAGAGATAAAGAACACAAAGGATCCTTTGGAGATAAAGAACACAAAATAAGTAGCGCGAGAACGGCGAATCAAAAAGTGGAGTCTTGTATTACAATAGGTGAAATTGACGGTGCGCGAAAGCTTTAGAGATAAAATACGTAAAGAAGTAGCAAGATCTAGATAGTAAATTTGCAACTATTGTGTCTTGGTCTTTCTCAAGATCAAAGGAAGAGAATAGGTTGAATCAACAACAAACACTACGGTTTGTGGAGTTGCTCTTGAACACTTCTCTTGTATCAACTTTTTGCATAGTAAGAATTATCCTAATTCCATTGGAATTAGGCACAGATGTACCCACACGCGAGGACGAAAGTGGGGAACTATGAAGACAAATCCTCGTGTCTCTTTTTCATATTGTTTTATTTGCTTTATTTTCATCAATCAATTTATCTAATAACATTATGTAATCAAGTGACTCGTAGGAATTTTTCCAAACTGTTTTTGTTTTGAATTAAGTGTTGATATTTCTTATAATCACTTTTGATTATAAGTGTTTTTTGTATCAACACAAATCAAAGGAAATTCTGAAAATTCAATTGCACACCAAGTGTTTGACAAATTGTTTTTGTTTGTTATTTTGATAATTGTCATTGGATATAGCATTGCTAGTAACTTGCTATAAACGATTGATAAAGTGTTACTTGATTAAATTCCAATTAATTCCAATTATTATATTCATTTCATTCGCAATTTTATATTTGTATATTCGAGTTCCAATAACTAAGATTCGATAGACAACACATTCTGAAAAGCTTCTGCGTGCACTCTTTTCAAATCAAAATTTTCAAAACAGATTTTTATATTAAATTTTGGTTTGGTGATCTATTCACCCCCTCTAGATAAGGTGTCATCGTCTAACAAGTGGCATCAAGAGTCTGATTCATTCTGTCTTCAAATCTTATTAGAAAATGGCGTATAGACCTAAAGGAGATTATAGAAGAGCCCCAATTTTTACGGGAGAAATCTATAGTTTTGGAAAGCTTGTATGAAAAAGGATAAAGATGTCGCATCTGGTATTTTCATCGAAGTGCGAACAAAGGAGAAAGGACAGAAACATGGTCATCACAACCAAGAGAAAAGACTAAGGAAGTCAGTCACGTGAGGGGAAGGTATTAGCACCCCCACATCTGTGGTACTCCACAAGATTCACTTAAGTTTATTCTATTCTAAGGGTATATCTAATCTATGTCTAAAGCTTAATTCTAAAAGAGAAAATTCAAAGAGGGAATGCATGCAAAAGAAAATACGGGGAAAAGAAGGAAATATTTACAAAGTTTTGCTTGGTTGAGCCCCATGACCAGATGCCTAAATATTCCGTTTAAGGAATCAGAGCACCGTAGTTTGCCTCAATAATTTCCGTTTGAAAAGGTTTCAAAAGCAAAAGTCTGAAGACAAAAAGATTTCCATTGGTTTGTGTTTTTTACCTTGAAAAAGGATTTGATGATTTGAACCACACTAAAGTCTACGACATGAGATACTTTGGGTGGTTGAGCCAGATGTCTCGTACTCAAAGGGCTCATGTAAGGCTCATGGCATATGATTTGTATCATTATTATTAAGTGTTTTGAGAAGTTTGAAAGAAAAAGAAGTTTTAGTTTTAATGAGATGCTAAAGAGGAAAGAAAAAGTCTAAGGGAGACTAGATAAATAGCCCTAAAGTTACATGTAATGTTGATCCTATAGTTGAGATATGAGGGAAGCATCTATCTAATATTGTCATGCATGGATGAAGATCATAAGGTCTATTTAGTTCAAACTTAGAGAAGAGTGAACTAAAGATCCTATGGGGAGCATACAAAAGGAGAACCAAGCAAAGATAGGAGAAGAGATGATAAGACACCACACAAACATACATTAAAATGGCAAAACAACATGTCTCAAAGAAGTAGGAGATATGACAAAATATTTATAAGGAAAACATATAGGTAGAAACATAAACCAATGAAAGAGAAGATGGCAAAACATCATACAAAAAAGATGATAATACATCAAGATAGAGATGATGAGCAAAAGATGATAGAACATCAAGCAAAAGATGATAAAACATAAAGTATGCACATATTAAGATGACAAAACATCAAGTCTCAAAGAAAAGAGAAGGATGATAGAACATCAAGCATGGATGACAAAACATAAAAAAATGGGATGATAAAACATCAAAAAATGGGATGTTAAGACATCAAGCATGGGTGACAAAACATCAAAAAATGGGATGTTAAGACATCAAGCATGGGTGACAAAACATCAAGAAATGGGATGATAAAACATCAAGCATGGATGACAAAACATCAAGAAATGGGATGATAAAACATCAAGAAATGAGATGATAAAATATTAAGCATGGATAACAAAACATCAAGAAATGGGATGATAAAACATCAAGTATGGATGACAAAACATCAAGAAATGGGATGATAAAACGCCAAATAAGAAAGCATATGAGATATATACCTAAGCACTAATCAAGAATAGAAAAAGAGATGAAAAAGCATAAACACCTAACAATGATATCAAGAATCAAAGTAGGATGGAAAATATATAAGAGATGGCAAAACATCAACACCTAACAATGATATCAAGAATCAAAGTAGGATATAAAATATATAAAAGATGATGAAACATCAATACCTAACAATGATATCAAGAATAAAAGTAGGATAGAAAACATATTAGAGATGTCATTAACACCTAACAATGATATCAAGAATCAAATTAGGATAGAAAAAAGATAAGAGATAATTAAATATCAACACCTAAAAATGATATCAAGAATCAAAGTAGGATATAAAACATATAAGAGATGTCAAGACATTAACATATATGCAATAAGACGGCAAAACATAAAGTATGGATGACAAAACATCATGTAACAAATGAAAAAACATCATGTTTGAAAGAAAAGAGAAGGATGATAAAACATCGTTAAACACATGAGTCATGGAGAAAAGAATGCATACATATCACACAAAGAGAATGGCCAAAGGAGGAAAGCAAACAACGTACTTAAGAAGTAAAGATCAAAAGGAGAGAGAGAGAGAGAGAGAGAGAGAGAGAGAGAGAGAGAGAGAGAGAGAGAGAGAGAGAGAGAGAGAGAGAGAGAGAGAGAGAGAGAGAGAGAGAGAGAGAGAGAGAGCATAATTTAAAATTATGAAATGTGTGAATTGTGTAGTAGGTTAACTCAAGATGAGACTCAAGAGTAACCAAGTAAGAAGATGAAACTTCATACACAAGAAAAGTCACCTAGTTTATGAACAACATCATCTAAGATAGATAATACTTGTCTTAAATCAAATGAGATTAATAAAAAGATCAAGTAAGAGTACAATGATATCTTATATGTTATGGGGTAATGGTAAAACCCTCACAAGATGTTGTGATACGGTGGCAAAACCGACTGTTTAATACTGGTTTGTGTTTTGAGTTTTTTGTTCGCAAAATGTCGCGGTAAGCAAGAGTCGCCACCGACTTTTATTTCATCCAACCGGA